AGTGTGTGGGTGTCACTGCCCTGCCCAGCCAGCAGGGGGAGCTCACACAGTGTGTGTCGGTGTCACTGCTCTGCACAGCCAGCAGGGGGAGCTCACACAGTGTGTGTCGGTGTCACTGCACAGCCAGCGGGGGGAGCTCACACGGCGTGTCGGTGTCACTGCCCTGCCCAGCCAGCGGGGGGAGCTCACACAGGGTGTGTCGGTGTCACTGCCCTGCCCAGCCAGCGGGGGGAGCTCACATGGTGTGTTGGTGTCACTGCTCTGCACAGCCAGCGGGGGGAGCTCACATGGCGTGTGTCAGTGTCACTGCTCTGCACAGCCAGCGGGGGGAGCTCACACAGGTTTTGGTTGTTACACCAAAATGGTGGCTATTAGGCTGTGCTGCACAATGTCGAGTCACACCAAACATAGTGTGGGTCTTGGTTGTTTGTGGCTCGCTCATCTCAGTCTCCCGGGATGTTTTGTGGGTCTCTGCCCCTCGCCTCTCAACGTGAGACGTAGCTGCTGTAGCCTCCCTTGTTCGCCTCATTGCTCCTGGTGTCAAAAAGCAGCAGCAGGGGGCTGGAAATCTCCTGATCTGGCCTCTCAAGTCCGGAGGGTTCCCAGAACCGAGTGGCGCTGAACCAGGGAGCCGGGTTACATGTGCTTTCCCCGCAGGCCAGCTCCGTGCAAGCCGGGAGACAAAGGCAGCCTCGTTGCTATGCACAGGGGCCAGTTCCCCACATTCACAGGGACAAATCATTCCCAGCAGCCGCGCCACAACGAACAACGCTCCTTTCATGCCGCTCCAATAGGCGACATGCTTTAAAAGACTCCCAAACTGGCCAGTGTCCACCGGCGTGGGAGCTGGGGCAGGGCCGGGGGAGTCCCAGGCCCCTCCCAACGATGCTGGGCTTGTCAAAAGCAACAGAACAAGGAGTCAGCTCCCAAGGGCTGAGTAGGGGGGCGGTGGGGCAAGGTGATATGACGGTGCGTCCACCTCTGCATCGGAGCACGTCGGTCTTTGTGAACTTGTGTCCATATCAGAGTATGATGGGGGGGGGGGGGCGGTGTCTCTGTCCAAGTGTGTGTTTGAGTGATATGTCCAGGTGTGTGTCCCCATAGCGCAGTGTGTGTCTCCAATGGCTGGAAATAGAAGCTAGACTAATTCAGGCTGGGTTTTAACGGGAAGAGTAATTAACCATTGGGCCATCTTACCCAGGGCGGGGGTGGGGGAGTGTCAGACTGGCTGTTTTTCCAACCTCCCTGTCTGTGCTAGGGAATATTCGGGGCAGGTCTCAGGGGGTCAGACCAGTTGACTCCCATAGGAGAGTGTGTGTGTTCGTGTGTGGCGAGGGGGAGGAGGTTCCTGGTTCCCGTCACACCCCTCCCTGCTATGTGCACTCAGGGCCCAGGGTGAAGGCAGGCGCTGCAGGCGGAGGCAGGATTCGGGGTCCCCTCCCTGCCCATGGGACAAGCGCTGCTCTGTGGCCCGGTGCAGGGCTCATGTCGTCACAAGTCTCGTCGGGCCAGGTCACCAACCTCCAAGATCAAACTCAGGAGCCAGCCCCCAAGATCCCCTGAGCCTGTCCCCAAACCTGAGGTGTGTCTCTAGAGACGAGGCTGGGGGTTTTGAACCTGGGGGGCTGGCAGGGTGGGCAAGTCAGTGCCATGGGAGCAGGAACTGGGACTCAACTCATCTACGGGGTCCTCCAAACTGCCAGGAGCCAGGCCCAGCTTCCCAGCCCTGCTGCGCTGCAGGATCCGCACTGGGGCCGACAGGAGAAAGGCTGCAGCCCAGCACCTGGAGGCAGCCCAGCCCAGCAGTGCCAGCATTGCCCTACGGGCACGGCAGCCCTCCAGACAGATCCGTCTGCTAAATCACCTTCGGAGCTGGTGGGAGCCCACACGGGCCGGGTCTCCCCTCCACTCCCTGCAAATTCTCCCCCACACTGCACTCCCACTGAGACACCCCGCTCTGCCCCACCCTGGCCTTAAAGGGACTGCTCCCATAACCAGATACAGCCCATAAAAACCAACAGCCAGTAGTACCAGCCCCGAGCTCAGTTCTAAACACCCTGCTTTGCACTCGGGATAATTCCAAGTCACTCCAGCACCCTGCGCTCACTGTTACACCCCGCTGGAGCTTGTGTCACTCGCACATGGACCATCAGCCGGGTTTGAACACACAGGCCCGGAGAGCCACAGCACAGGCCTCGTCTTCCCGTCAGCGACAGGAGCCAGTGGCCGAAGGAAGCCGGCTGCTCCTCTGTGCGTGGACTGGCCCATGCAGGGACCCGGCACCCCTCTAGCCCGTGGGGGCGCTGGGCACAGGCTGCGTGGGTTCCATTGCTGGCTCGGGGAGCAGACAGCCCAGTCAAACGCAGGGCCTGGCCCCACGACCTCCGCAGGGCAAAGCCCAAGCTGGGCGTATAAGGGAGCCAGCTCTGGGAGCGTGGCAGCGGTGGCCAATCACTAAACGCTCTGTGGCCTGGCCGCGGAGGGTGACACACCAGCCGCTGCTCGCGCGTTACAGAGGCTCCATGTTTGAATAACTCCCTTGAAGGAGTGTGTGATGGGTTCGGTCACAGAGATCCCCTTGGGACTGTCACCTGATGTGCTGAAACTACCTCTTTGCCAGCTTGGGACTCCAGAACCCTGCCTTGTTGAGCCAGACACGCTAGCCTGCTGCAACACAGACCCCAACGCTGCAGACTTTAACCAAAAACTGTTCAGCAGGTCACCTATCTCCAGCACCCAGACACCCTTCTCCCAGTGGGATCCAAACCCCAAATAAATCCGTTTTACTCTATATAAAGCTTATACAGGGTAAACTCATAAATTGTTCACCCTCTATAACACTGATAGAGATATACACAGCTGTTTGCTCCCCCAGGTATTAATCACTTACTCTGGGCTAATTAATAAACAAAAGTGCTTTTATTAAGTATAAAAAGTAGGATTTAAGTGGTTTCAAGTAATAACAGACAGAACAAAGTAAGTTACCAAGCAAAATAAAACAAAACATGCAAGTCTAAGCCTAATACATTTAAGAAACTGAGTACAGGTAAATCTCCCCCTCAGAGATGTTCCAATAAGCTTCTTTTACAGACTAGACTTCCTGTATCCGTGGGTATCCTAGTCTGGGCCCAATCCTTTCCCCTGGTACAGTTTTTGTTAATTCCAGCTCAGGTGGTAACTAGGGGATTTTGCATGACTGGCAGCCCCCTTTATTCTGTTCCACCCCCTGTTATAGCTTTGGCACAAGGTGGGAATCCTTTGTCTCTCTCTGGGTTCCCACCAGCGGCGGCTCCAGGCACCAGCGCTCCAAGCGCGTGCCTGGGGCAGCAAGCTGCGGGAGGGGGCCGGTCCCTGCGAGGGCGGCAGTCAGGCAGCCTTCGGCAGCATGCCTGCGGGAGATCCGCCGGTCCCGCGGATTCGGTGGCAATTTGACGGCGGGTACGCCGAAGCCGCGGGACCGGCGGACCTCCCGCAGGCATGCCGCCGAAGGCAGCCTGACTTCCGTGCCTGGGGCGGCAAAAAAGCTAGAGCTGCCCCTGGGTCCCACCCTTCCTTCTAAATGGAAAAGCACCAGGTTTAAGCCGGATACCAGTATCATGTGACATGTCCTGTGAGACTTCATTACTCACTGGCTGGCACCCACGGATACAGGAAGGCGTACAGGTAAACAGAGCCATTTACAACCAATTATCCTAGTTAATGGGAGCCATTAAGATTTAGGGTGACCAGATGTCCCGATTTTATAGGGACAGTTCCAGTATTTGGGGCTTTTTCTTATATAGGCGCCTATTACCCCCCATCCCTGTCCCGATTTTTCACACTTGCTGTCTGGTCACCCTAGCAAGATTCCAAGCCACCATTAATGGCCCACCCTTTGCATAGTTACAATAGGACTTCAGAGTTATACTTCATATTTCTAGCTTCAGATACAAGAATGATACAGTCATACACATAGGATGACCACACTCAGTAGATGATAAGCTTTGTAACGATACCTTACAAGAGACCTTTTGCATGAAGCATGTTCCAGTTACATTATATTCACTCATAAGCATACTTCCATAAACATATGGAGTGCAACATCACAGGGTGTGTGGCAAAGCGCCGATGCTTGGCCCTGTTACGGTGGAGGCCAGGGCTTAAGTCCCAGCTGTGCCTGCAGGGACATTCGCACAGAATCTCGGCTCTCTGGCCTGGGAGTGCCAGACCCTCGGATGGTCAGCGTGCCCTGTGCCCCTTGGCTCCATCAGCTGGGCTAGAGCTCATGGTGTCTGGGCTGGGTGCCCCTCCCCTTGATTGCAGAGGGAGAGGTCTGTCCCTCCGTCTTACTGCCCAAAATAGGAGAGCTGGCAACCCCGCTGGGGGGCCCTGCTCAGCGCAGCCCCCAGCCCCCAGCCTGGCCTCCTGTGCTTTGGCTGCCATCCCCGGGTCAATTCTGAGCTATACACTGAGTGCAAAAATCCCCACCCCCGACCTCGGCCTGGGAAGGGGTCCATCTGGGGGGCCAGCTTGCTGCAGTGGGGCTGGCTTAAGGCACCCCCCCTGCCGGTGTGGGGCTCGGGGGCAGAGATAGCACCTCTCGGTGTGGGGTGGGGGGGTGTTGGGAGTTGAGAGGGCAGAGATAGCACCTCCCATGTGGGGCAGAGGGGGTGTTGGGAGGGGAGGGAGCAGAGATAGCACCTCTCGGTGTGGGGCAGGGGGTGTTGGGAGGGGAGGGGGCAAAGATAGCCTCTCCTATGTGGGGCAGAGGGGGTGTTGGGAGGGGAGGGGGCAGAGACAGCCTCTCCCATGTGGGGCAGAGGGGGGGTTGGGAGGGGAGGGGGCAGAGAGAGCGCCGCTCGGGGGGGGGCGGGGGGGGGGGGGGGGGGGGGGGGGGGGGGTTGGCTCTTTAGCTGGGGTGGGGGAGGAGGATGTGTCTGCCCTCGGCTCCTGCCCCTGGTTTTCTGGACGCCGCCAGCTCTGGCTGTAGCCTGTGCATGGAGGAGGCCTAGGGTGGGGCCATGTTCCCTGGTTCCCAAGGCCCTCAGCCTGTCTCCGGGGATGAGGGCCCCGTTCGGTGAGTTCCCAGCCGAGCCGTGGGGTCTGTCTGTTCCTGTGGCAGGACGGGGCCCTGGGGCTCTGTGGGGCAGCCAGAAGGAATCAATCCCTGGCGCTGAGCGCTGGCTGGACGACACCTTGGAGCACAAAGCACCTTCTGTGCCGGTCCCGTCGGGGAGAGTCACGCTGTGGCCCCGGCCCCATTAATAAGGCCTTTGTGGAGCTGTTGGCTCCTGGCCCCAGAGAAGCCCAATGGATGCGCTGTCCCATGGCAGGGCATAGCTGAGCCTGCCTCGGTCTCTCCATAGTGAGGCCCAGGGGTGCAGCAGAGGGGACGGCGGGGGGCACAGTGGGGGGAGGGCACCCCTCAGGCGAGGTATTTCCAGTAGAGGTGGGGGGATGAGCCTCATGCGGGACACTGGGTGCAGTTCCGGTCTCCCACTCCAGAAGACGAATTCGAACTGGACTCGGTGCAGAGACGGGCGACTAGGCTCAAGGAGCAGGGAAAGCTGGAGGGAGAGGCGATAGCGATCTGTAAATACCTCAGAGGGCTGCACACCAGGGAGGGAGAGGAGTCATTTACATTAAGGGCCAATGTTGGCACCTGAACAAATGGCTATAAATTGGCCCTCAACAAGTTTAGGTTTGAAACTAGGCGAAGAACAGAGGAGTGAAGTTCTGGAGCCGCCTCCCAAGGGGAGCAGTGGGGGCAAAAACCTACCTGGCTTCAAGACTGAGCTTGACGAGTTTATGGAGGGGACGATGAGACTGCCGACAATGGCATACGGCCCACGGGCACCTGTTATTAGCAAATATCTCCAATGACTGGCGATGGGACACTAGATGGGGAGGGCTCTGAGTTACGACAGAGAATTCTGTCCCAGGTGTTGGCTGGTGGGTCTCGCCCACATGCTCAGGGTCTAACTGGTCACCATAGCTGGTGTTGGGAAGGAATTTCCCCCCAGGTCAGATTGGCAGAGACACTGGGGGGGTTTCACCTTCCTCTGCAGCATGGGGCACGGGTCACTTGCTGGCTTAAACTAGTGTCAATGGTGGGTTCTCTGTAACCTTGACATCTTTAAAGCATGATTTGAGGATTTCCGTCGCTCAGCCAGAGTTTCTGGGTCTGTTAGTGGAGGGGGTGGGGGAGGTTCTGTGGCCTGTGATGTGCAGGAGGACAGATCAGATGATCAGGATAGTCCCTACTGGCCATACAGTCTATGGGCAGCTGCTGTCCACACCAGTGTGGGGTGAAGACAGCGGCTTTTGGGGGCACACCCCCAGGTTCCCTGCACTGCTGTGAGCTGTCACTCTACGGACAGAAGCTGCCGCCGAATTGCCGCCGCGGCGGAAACGCGCGTGCCGCCCTAACAGCACATGGACTGCCCCCGCCGTCCGCGGCGGCAATTCGGCGCGCTGCTGGGGGGCAAAAACACACGGACTGCCGCCCCTTGCAGATTGCCGCCCCAGGCACCTGCTTGGAATGCTGGTGCCTGGAGCCGGCCCTGCAGGCCTTGCTAATGGTCAGAGCTTTTCAGGTCCCTCTGTCTTGCTCCCCTCCCAAATTCATTCGTAATGAACACAGCTGCAGATCAGCCCTGAGACCGTTCCAGCCTTTGAGATGAAAGGTTATAGCGGAGGGAGCCCTGCCTGGGCCTGCCCAGGCCCCCCCTTCCTGCTCCTCATTCAACTGGAGTCCTTGGCCGGCTGCCTTCAGCTTCACATACAGCTACTGGGGCCATATGCTTAGCTGGTGCCGAGCTTAAAATCAGCATGATCACCCCGGAGTCCTATGTCAATCACCGTTACCTGCTCTAGCTACTGGTGTCTCCCAGATGTCCTGACTCCCAGGTCCCTGCTCTAACCGCTGGGTAACCCTCTTCCAGACTTGGGAACAGACCCCAGCAGGCCTGAATTCCAGCCCCCTGCTCTCCCTGCTAGACTCAGTAGCATTAGAAGCATCCCTGAGAAAAATCACAATGAAAAATACAGAACAGTCTGTAAGTTTCCGCAGCTTTTACAGAACCGCTGGGCTGGAAACCAAGTCCAGAGCTTTCAAACAGACACTTAATTTAAGTCTTTCTTCATTAGCTTCTCAGCTGGCTGGCTAAGCTTGAAATTCTCAATTCAAGATAAAGCAAAGTTCTGGCGTCAGGCTGATTTTGATGGTAACCAGCCAGGATGACAGCGAATACAGCTGATCATCACTGCCTGGAGAAGACACCATGTGTGGGGCACTGGGAGTGCGGGTGGGCGGGCTGGAGGAGAAGCAGGGTCCGTCTACACTGGAGCTGGAGGTGTAATTTCCAGCTCATGTGGACACACCGGAGCTAGCATGGACCGCTGCTGCTGGCGGGAGGGGCTAGCTGTCCCGAGCACGATCCTGTCTGAAACCCTCAGTATGTACCCAGGGCGGCTCGGCCCTGCCACCGCTCGCCCCACCATGGGTGCACTGCTAGTTTGAGTGTGCTGGCTCCACCAAAGCAAGCGCAGGCACATCTCCTGCGCAGGAAGTTCCGTGCCCAGCTCCCGTGTAGACGGACCCTCAGATAACACAACTTGCATGGGACTTAAGAGTATGGTTAGGGTTAGGCACGTGCTTTGCTAAATGGGGCCCTGAATGTCAAGTGTAAAATGCCCCAGTGCTCAGCCCCCACCCCCACAGACACCTGCTGGCAGGATCACTCACACCCGGGTTCTTGGAAGCCAAAGGTTTCAATGGTGGCCTCCGTACGGGAGAGATGAGACCGGGAGCCAGGGACCTAGCGTGGGATCGCTATACTTTATCAAAGGGCGTTGTGTCTGCGTTTGTAACGCAGATTAAAGTGCAGACGCTTCAAAGTGCTCTAGGGACACAGAGAATCCCGGGGACACTGCTCAAAATTTCAAAAAAGGCTCATTAATCATAATTAAAATGATTATTTATTAATTTATATCACAGGAGTGCTTAGAGAGCCCGACAGATCTGGGCACTGCAGTGCTGGATTCACTACATACACACCACAAGAGACAGGCCCGGCCCTGCCAGCATATAGTCTGAAGATATGAGAAAGGTGGGGACGGGAAACTGAGGTACAGAGCTGGGAAGGGACTTGCCCAAGGCCACCCAGCAGGTCAGGGGCAGAGCTGGGAACAGAGCCCAGGTCTCCTGCCCCATAGCCCATTTTTTAAGTCATATGATAATTCAAGAAATAATTCAAACTGCTTAATTCAAACTTTTAAACAACCTATTGGAAGCTAATCATAAACATGTTAATAGACTAATTTTGGGTGTGGGGGCAAGCGGGGGGGGGGAGGTATGTCTAAGGGTATGTCTACACTACAGGATTAATCCGAATTTAGATAATTCGAATTTGGGAAACAGGTTGTATAAATTCGATTGTGCGCGGCCACACTAAGCACCTTAATTCGGTTTTAAACCACATTAATTCGGTGGTGTGCGGCCACACTACCCCATTAACTTAAACACAGTAATTCGGTGGTGTGCGTCCACACTAACCCTAATTCGAATTAACAAAATCGATTTAGGCTCTACTCCGTTCGTCGCGGTGGAGTACAGAAATCGATTTAAAGGGCCCTTTAATTCGAATTAACTGGCTCTGTAGTGTGGACGGGTGAAGGGTTAATTCGGATTAAGGCAGCTAAATCCGAATTAAAGTCCTAGTGTAGACCAGGCCTAAGCTAGAAAAATGTTTTTAACTGTGTTAGCGAACACATTTTAATGGACACAAGTTTAAACAGGACTTTGACAGGACACATTGTGTTAAATATGGTACACGACCATTTCTCCAGTCATGTCCTGTGAATAAAGAGAACTGCGCATATAATGGAGCCCAGCCTTGCAGGCAGGTTTTTTCCCATTGTGTGTAAGCTGAGAGAAAAGAAAAGACTAGCATGGTCCCAAGCACGTGTTTTCTTTTCACTAAGGATTAAAGTAAACTTCAGCCAAGAGACGTACGTTGTGCAATGAAATACAAGACATGCCCCCGTTGCCGGGACTCCTTCAAGCATCACTGGTGTTATTTTGGAAACGATATTTTCCTTTAACCCAAACAGCTCCCTTGCTATACTGAATCTTTCCTTCCCCGAAAGGCCGGGTGTGAGATTCCACCAGGAATCCCGGGGTTCTGAGGACGGGCGAGTCTCTCTCCTGGGCTGAGATCTGAGTTTTGGCGCCCTGATTCTCCAGCCGGAGTGGCACACGATACATTAGCGTTAGGGGCTGCTCTGGCTGGCTATGGCCCCTCAGGCTAGAAGAGAATCAGGGTCTCAGGGGACTGGCTGGAAAGGACAGCCTCTCCCAGATGGGAAAAAATCCCACCCCAACTCCTCCAAGTATTTCAGTAGCTCAGAACAGGGGCTGGGTCTCAAAGCCAGTGCGTGCGCATGGCTTGGCTCCATCTCCAGCCAAAGCAGAGAGCTCGGACAAGGGTAATCACAGCGCCTGGTCTCAAAGCGGTCTCTGGTTTGGAGTTCCTCCACGTCCAGAGGGCCTTAGCTGCACGACAACGTCTGGGGAATCCGCTCTGTGCAGCTTGGTCACTAGAAGCAAAAGCATCCTGAAGACAATCCACACACATCCATGCACAACCTCCCCCCCACACACACACAAAATACACACCCTTTGCACACACAACTTGCACTCCCAAAACTAGGGTTACCATATGTGGAGTGTCCCAAAAGAGGACACTCCACGGGGCCCCAGCCCCGCCCCCCGCCCCCGCCCAAACTCCGCCCCTCCCCCAAAGTCCCCGCCCCAACTCCGCCCCCTCCCCTGCTTCCCGCGAACATTTGATTCGCGGGAAGCAGGCAGCAGGTAAGGGGGGGGAGGGAGGGAGGTGAGGCGGCGCGGCGCGGCGCGGGCCAGCCCCCGGCCGAGCACCCCCCGGCCGCCCAGCTCCGCCGGCCCCGGCCCCTGGCCCAGC